TTCTTTATTTACTGACATAAGATAACATAACATGACGCCTATCATCCCCGAAGGGGTAGGTAGAGGTGCACATTATGCCACTGTACAATGTAACACTCACTTTTCACTATTTATGTGTTATGAGTTCCATGTAATAGGAGGTGAGCCTATTGCCATATACCGAGCACAATTCCAGACTCCGTGCTACTAATAATTATTCTTAAAAAAAACTCAGTAATGCTTTGCCCAACCCGGGAATCGAACCCGAGAACCTTGCCCGGCAATCGCACTTGCGATTGCGACCAATCGGCCAACGAAGAAGTCTGTGTTAAACATAAACTCAAGTAGAAATTGCATAGTCGAACAGTCGTAGTTAACCAAACATAAACTCAGCAATAAAACTAAAATAATAACATTGATTGAGTGTAATATTATACTAAGTTAACAAAATACATAAAATGTATCCGACAAGACTGTGATTGCATTTCAATGTAGGTATTAACTACATAACATAACTTAACATCACGCCTTTTAACCGAAGGGGTAGTCAGAGGTGCACATTACGGCACTTAATGCACTTAAAGTACAATCAAATGTAACACCTACTTTTCACCATTTTATGTTATAAGTCCCATGTAATAGGAGGTGAGCCTATTGCCATATACTGGGCACAATTAAAGACTCAGTGCTACCACTAAGATTTTTTTAAAAACCCAGTTATACTTTGTCCGACTCGGCAATCGAACCCGAGACCCCTTGCCCGACTCGTCCAACGAGGCAGTCAGCAAAGTATTAACTATTAAGTGACATTCTCACCTCATTATCACTTGCGATTGCGACTACTCGGCCAACGAAGAAGTCTGTGTTAAACATAAACTCAAGTAGAAACCAAAGTAAGAGTAATTAACCAAACATAAACTGAGTAATAATGCTAAAATAATAACATTGATTGAGTGTAACATACTAAGTTAACAAAATACATAAAATGTATTCGACAAGACTGTGATTGCATTACATTTTAACTCAAACTCATTTCGAGCAATATATCATACATTTATTAACCTATAAAACTTGAAAGCTTGTTCTATAAAACACATATTTCCCGAGACCCAACTTTGTATTTTACTTAGAGTACTGCCCACCCTCTTAAATGAAATGAGCGTGAAGACGAATTAGGTTCTAGATAACAATAGAAGCGTCTTAACGACATTTTTACGTATCTTCCTCAGACAGTGGTCCTCAACAATAAAAATTAATTTAATCCTTAGGCTTTGAATAGAAATTTATAGCGTTGTTATTACTTAAGTAATTTATTTATTGTTTAACTAGCCTTAGTATACTTACTATTAGGTAAACTTAAAGTATGTGTGAAATCCATTAGATTAAAAAAAAACGTAAAATTGTTGTTAAATTGATTTCTAGTTTATTGTGCTACAGATGTCGTAGTTTTAGCTACTAAATTCTTAGTATAAATATATAGATTTTACCCCCTGGATATAAGAAACTAAAACTATAGTAGAACAATAAAATCATCAGCCATGGGGATCGTACACAAAACTGCGATGCAAATTCGCAACGCAGAAAATTACGACGCGGATTGCTGCGATGCGATTTCGTACGATAAGGCGTCTCCCAGGGTGATCATTCTTTCGACGATCGTCAACCGTACTAAACGTATTTTAAATTGTCATTTTAAAAACTAGGTCGTGACATGGATCGTAGAAAGAACTACGCACTGTGCACTTTTGTTATTGCTTAGGAGATACAGGAAAAAGAAATAAAGAAGATTTTGGGAAGTTAATATTTTGATGCAAGGTGCGAATCCATTCGTAAGTTCTTGCGATGCGTAGAGGGAACTCGCACGTTTTTGCAATGTGACGTCGCATCGTAGTTTTGTGAACGAGCCTTTAAAGCTTATAAAATCTTGTGCGACATCACCGCGACAGCGCATGCTGCTCATGAGGAAGAACCCCTCAGTTTATGGCTCGAAAGTAATAGAGCTTTTCTCAGAATTTTCACGTTAGTAATTCGCCATTTTTAGTTAAATCATCATCATCATCAACAGCCTATAAATGCCCACTGCTGAGCAAAGCCTCTCACGGAGAAGCTTTGAGCATTAGTCACCACGCTTGCTCAATGCGGCTTGGCGAATTCAAACTTATAAAAATGAAATTATAAGTCAGGTTTCCTCACGATGTTTACCTTCACCATTTGTCAGTGGTATCTAGATAATCTTAAAAAGTATAAATAACTCGGAAAAAGTCACATCGGTACTTGCCGTTGGTAGGTTTCGAACCCGCACCTTCATGCATAAGGAGCATCTTAAACCTCCGGGCCACCACGACATTATGTAGTTAAATCATTTTTTATTAATTCTGTTTAGCACTAAAAATAGCAATCATAAGACCTTTAAAACTTTCAACTAAAATTTGAAATCCTAATCAACATCAAAACAAGCGTTTTTGCACAAAGTTTAAAGACCAAATATTAAACTAAATGTACTTTGAAACATGTCATAACACGGTGAACAACACAAGCTTTGAGAACCATAGTAATTTAGTGTAACATTGTAATTTTACTGACTTATTTGTCGAGGCATCAGATCGTAACTATAAACTGACATGGAGTCTATGAAAAATTGTATTTTATTACGTAATTGATGTAAAAAGAGATAGAAAGTAAAGTAAACGGGTTTTAATGTTTGTGTTAAACGAGAGAGTAGAGATTGTGAAATGTTTTATGACATTTTAGATAGTTTTTTTTTATTAAAGTTTAAGTTGGTGTGTGGGCAAGTGTGGTAGAGCCGTGTTTCGGCACGAATGGGCTAACTTCGGAATGATACCACGGCCTCACAGAAAACCGACGTGAAACTACACTGAATCCCAACAATCCATTAATTCCTAATTCCCGAGAGGCCAGTAACACACTTGTAACGCCTCTGGTGTTGCGGGTGTTCATGGGCGACGGCGATTGCTTACCATCAGGTAATTAGTCTGCTCGTTTACCGGCTTATCCCTGAATGTCTATTACTTTTTATCATCTATTCTTCGGGTGGTAAAGGTGTTATTAGGACTATTGCTTGTCATCCGATAATTAGTCTGTTCGTCTACCAGCATAAGCCATAAAAATACTGATACAATGGACAGGGTTGAAGTAGACACTGAAGATATTATCTTTTGCCTAATTTACTAGTAGAAGAATCAAACGTAACTTTTGTTGACATGGTCATAGGGTTCATTATGAAGGACGACCATACAATGTTATTGGTTATCGTATTTCAAATCAGTCCATCGCCATCTACTATTGGACATAGGCCTGTCGAATAGCACCCCACTAAGCTTGATCTTCAGTAATTTGCGTCCAACCACCACTATTATAATTCTTCAACAATAAAATGACTCTAAAAATAATTACTTTGTGTTAATGAATGTTCCTCCACGTACATAAACGTGCAATAATGAATTAATTAATTCCCCAGAGCCTCGTGGAGCAAATGTAAGCCACATGAGAATTACTTGCTTCAAACTACGACAGATTGTCATATGACTTTCAGCTGTGGGAAGTACAGTCAACAAATTTTTCGGTGCCATTGTCACATTGTGGGACAATTGGCTACTTGCCTTCATCAAAAACAAATTATTTCGTCTCTTGAATATAATAAAATATTGAAAAATAATCACACTTTCATTAATTGATTTTATGAACAACTTAATTTTAGTATATTTCCAGAAAATTAAAAAAAATAATAAGAATGCTGTTTGCCTCTAAAAAAACAGGACGTCACAATACACAAACTCTTATAAAATTCATAGAAATCTGTCGTTTTTGACAGTTTGAAAGAAGTATTGAATTTGACTAGTTGGTAAGTACTCAATTATCTTGATGCCAGCAAAAACTCAAAAACTCGTTGTGTACTTCGAATTTTATTCCAAAGAAAAGGACTAAAACATTGTAATTATCATCATATCAGGCAAAAGACGTCCACTGCTGAACATAGGCCTTTCCCAATAAAAAAGATTACAAAAGCAGAAGAATTTAGCAACTACTCATTCAAAAATTCTGCCCTGATATTTTTGTGGTGTTTATTTTTTGTTTTTTTTCACTTTTGTCTACATCTCTGTGAATGTGAATGTTTTTCTTTCCTTCTAAAATTGCGACCATTTTGTATGATAGATTTAAAAGAGGAATCAAGTTTTTATTATTACTAAATAATAAGTTGGCCAGTGTAACAAGTAACTATATAAAAAAGATATATACAATATAATAAAGTAAAGCAAATCTAATATCAGTGTCCTAACACATAAGCTGTCGAATTATCATTTTCAATAGGTAATCGTTCCATCGCACACTGGCTGGTGCATGAGGGCGGGCAGCTGTTGATTTCGTCGATAGTACCAAACCAGTATGTTTTTAATCAAGATGCACCTAGAGTTGGTCGTCCCTGTTCCAACTACCTGTGTAGTTTATAGCTTACATATGACGTTCTGGCACTAATTAAGTGCTAGAACCGACTTCACGATGTCAGAGTTGCATTTTATGCGTTCATGTTAAAGTTGTGTTTGTGAGTGTTGTTAGTGTATGATTAATTTTGAAATGAAATGTAATGTATTTTTTTCAAGGGGGGAAAATCATCGACCGACTGCTCCCGCCTAGGGTGAGGCGGGAAGGAGTATCAGACTTTTACTGACTAAAAACCACCCCGTTGCTTCTCCTGCACGTCGAGCTGGAGCCCCGGTAACCCGTGGTAGGTAGGTAAGGTTCTCCGCGTGTATGGGAGGCTGGATACAGTACGTTTCTTTTTTAGGATTCTGTATCAAAAGTTGTTTGATTTTTACAATAACGTTTTTGAAGTATACTACTAAGAGAGTCTTAATGTAGCAGCACAGATAAAAAACGAGAAAAAGAAAAAAATCAGTTTCATAACATATTTATTTTATTCTAGAAAGATTGTTCTTAATATAATATGAACTATCAATACATAGTAAAAAGTGATCATATAAAGGAATTGAAGTTTTTTTTAATTATGTTTTTCCATATAAATTAGTAACATTATCAACAACAGTAGCCACGGTTGTACTAACGTTGTAGTAAGAATTTGGCGTCACAGAGTACTGTAGGAGAACTATTTCATATGTTATTATTGTGCCCACTACCTGAAAAAAGATAATTTATAATTAGTAAATTAAAAAACCATTTTAAATAGCTATGGTTAAGTGTCTGTAAGGGTGATGTGTAAAGTTCACTTTTCACTGTTAAATAACATAACATACCATCGCGCCTTTATATCGCCGAAGGGGTAGGTAGAGAATGTAACACCCACCTTTCACTATTTACATTATGAGTTCCACTTAATAATAAGTGAGCCCATTGCCATATTCCGGGCATAATTCTAGACTCCGTGCTACTACTGAGAATTTTGAAAAAACTCAATAATACTTTGCCCGACCCGGTAGTCGAACCCGAGACCCCTTCCCAGGCAGTCGCACTTGCGACCACTCGGACAACGAGGTAGTCGCTTTCATTGTAAAATCTTTTAGATTATGTGTTTTCAAAATATTTGGAAATTATGCTCGGAAATGAATCTCAAGCTACTTCTCTACTTCGGAAAACTTAAAAAAACGAATCCAAACAAAATAATATGACGAAAATAATAAATGAGGAGCTAATTGAACTCAAACCTTTAATATCATGTTCCGAGTCACGTAGAAAAACTTCCCACTTAGTCCGACTTCAGTGTAATGTAACTGTAACTGAAAGCGGCGGACCTAGAAATATAATTATTTTTCAATTATCGAAATGTAGACTTTAAGACTTTAGCAGTAAAAAGCATTTTTATACAAAAAAAAAACATATCTATAGTTAACCTATAGGTCACTAAAATGAGATCATTACAACTTGAGTAGGCTCATGATAAGTAATTGCTTTGAAAATATTTGGACAACAAGTATACTTTTTTATATATTTTTTTAAACGTTGCCCCACACTAGTATTTTCTCCAGTGCCGTGGGTGCGTTTACAAACATTCAAGTTCACATACACATGACAACCAGACCCGAAACAACAATCTGTGGATCACACAAAGAGTTGTTCCGTGTGAGAATGACCGCACAGTTGGAGCGGTGTCTGGGCAACCACGAAACGTGTAGCGGGTTAGATTCAAACATAAACATAACATCACGCCTTTTATCCCCGAAGGGGTAGGCAGAGGTGCACATTATACCACTGTACAATGTCACACCCACTTTCACTATTTATGTTACGAGTCCCATGTAATAGGGGGTGAACCTATTGCCATATACCGGGCACAATTCCAGACTCCGTGCTACTATTTTACTGAGATTTTTAAAAAATGCAGTAATACTTTGCCCGACCCGTGAATCGAACCCGAGACCCCTTGCCCGGCATTTGCACTTACGACCACTCGGCCAACGAGGCAGGTGGGTTAGATTCCTTCATGGAATAACTTTTTGTGTAATCCACATTATTGTTTTGGATCTGCAAAATTGTATGTTAGCAACAACGACACGACCGAAGAAAGAAGGAAGAAATCGATCGATCGGTGGTTGGTCAACTGGCTCCCGCGCCACCTGTCGCAGGTTCGATTGCCGCACAGAACAACACTTTGTGTGATCCATAGATTGTTCTTCCGTATCTGGGTGGCTATGTGGTGGTTGTGTAGGTGAACTTATATGTTTGAAACGCACCCACGACACAGGAGACAATCCTAGTGAAGGGCAACGTTTTAAAAATCGTATTGTAGGGCAACATTCGAAAAGAAATAAATGTTAAACATTAACAATTAATTCTAAGAGTAAAAATTTTAAGATCAAATCAGTATTTAATTAAAATAGTCAATGTACCAACTGCTAAGTGATATTCTCACCTCATTATCATAAACACTAGAAGGCACATCATATACGGAATATACAGGTTCGAGAGCCGCACAGTGCACGTTGGACGCAAATAGCGACAGCATCAGAGCTCGGAGTACAAGGAAGACGAACGAATACAAGTAGTAAAGGAGGTAGAATGGTGATGATAATGCTCTGGAATTAAAAGTTATAAAATTAATTAACTTTTAGACGCGAATCCATAAAGAGATAAATCATGTTCATTTTTTTATGGCATAAGCCGGTAAACGAGCAGACAGATCTCCTGATGGTAAGCAATCGGCGTCGCCCATAGACACCTGGAACACCAGAGGCGTTACAAGTGCGTTACCGGCCTTCTGGGGATTAGGAGTTTGAGGATCGTTGGGGATTCAGGAATTGGGGAGATTAGGGAAGGGAAGGGTAATTCGGCCTCCGGTAACCTCATTCACACGACGAAACACAACGCAAGCGTTGCTTCACGTCGGTTTTCAGTGTGGCCGTGGTATCACTCCGGTTGAGCCGGCCCATTCGTGCCGAAGTATGCCTCTCCCTAACCTGAACACTCGTCAACAGCCCGAGGTAGTTCTGTATATGCCTCTTCTATATTGACAGTAAAACGTCATTGTACACCTAACAAGCACGGCTCCGGTACGGCTCCAACCGGGCAACAAACTTGTCATTTGAATATAAACTTTAAATCGTACGTCGTATGACATATTTCATAAGGGCAATATACAAAACTGTACTTGAACTGTCCCGAACCACGCTTATTAGGTGTGCGATGCGATCTTTAGTCATAATCATCACGTCTGGTAGGCGAATTACAGATCACGATTTAAAAGATTTTAGTTTAGGTACGAGGGCGTGCTGCTGGCCATTTTTTATTATATGCGTAGTTCCTTAACTAATATAATACCCACGGGAATATTTCGGGTGGTGAAATTGAATTTTGAGGTTTCAATAATTTTGTCACAATCGTTCATATTTTAAAGATTGCCGTTGTATTTTTCGTATTGAAACACTTGGTTTATAATATTATGGATAGAGATATATACATTAATAAGGTATTATAGATACTTTAATTGTTATACTGATGATATCTACTTACTGATTGGTTTGCGTTTCATCACAATACTTGAAACTGACGTGGTTTCGGCTGAAACAGAAAGTGAATGACGTTATAATTAGAAAATAACAACTAATATTAAACATAAAAGGGTTTAATAATAAGAAAATTTAAATCAAATTTTACTGACACAATTTCGTTCCTTTTTTTGTCTTTTATTATTCGCTTTTTAGTTAATTTTAAGTTGTATAATATATTTATTCACAATTATATGTTATTTAAGCGTATTATTTGTAAATAAGAAATTATTTAGACCTTTCAAAACGTATTTATAGCAAAGAATAAAGCGTTGAGAACTAAAAATAGTTGCATATGTGAGAGAATAGGTTAGATGACTAATTTTTATTTTAATGTTCGTATTGTAGATTATTTAAAAACATTAAACACCTATTTTTTATTTTTTACGGAAACGAATAGTTCAATGATATATTGATTTGAAATGTCGCGTGACATTACTTCTATGCACATTTTATATGTAGAAATGACGTTGTTACCTTCCACTCCTAAACTTGGATTCTATTGATATCTGATTTTATCTAAGTATTGTTTTATTATATGACAACATAGAAAAATACGTGTCTAATATTTTTTCATTACCTAACTGACGGACTAATTACATTTTTAATTTTCATATCCTGTCATCACCCCTATTAATGTGCATTTGTTCTCAACTTCTGTGTTCGACTCCTGTGCGAGTGATATTACAATAGACTGTTATTCTAAACGAATCATTATTAAATGACTTACTGCAACGAATTGAAGAGTTGCAGACAGATATAGAACAGATCAGTGAATAAGGAAAGAAGAATCAATGAGCTGATGTTGTCATCTATCTCTTTGACCAACTTCACCAAATTGGAGTAATGCACTCGAAGTATCGACCAGGGAATAGTATCCTGAAATAAAATATATTATGTAGGTAATATATTTTAAAGTAATCGAAAGGAGACCGCGTCCTGTACTCTGATTGGCCGGATACAATGAACCAACGAATCAGAATGCCGAACGCGGTCTCGTTTTGTACTAAGCCCTCGGGAATGTCAGAAAACGCTGCTGGTTTCCTGGTTTCAAATAAGCAGTCTATTACTCGGTTCTGACAGTCCCAAAGGGAAGAACAGAGGTGATGAAATATGTATTCTATTCTACGATCACCTCGTCGCCACAAGCTCGCCGACTGATTATCTTAAAATGACAATAAGGACCTAATTAACTTAATACATTTTTTCCCCTCTAATAATATACATATACAGTGTGTTAGGTTAAACGAGGGACTTATTGAGGGAGGGTATTCAGTATTCGATTCTCGTCCCGAATATGTAAAAAACCTATAACCAAAAATTTTGAGGTAATTGTCTAATAAAATACATCATCATGAACACTGAGCGCGCAACAAGTGAACTTGTAAACAGAAACAGTACTTACATAAAGTAAGTCGCGTTGCAAATCATGCGCCTATCTTGCCAAAAAGAATAGAGCGCGCTTAAGCCCGCTAAGCCGAAACCCGTAAGCGTAAGCGGAAGCGTTTTTATGGTGCTGTCTGTTATTTATTAGTGTTTTCGTTTCGTTTATATGTTTGTTAGGTTCATGTGAGTATACACTATTATGGGTTTGAATATGTCCCTCGTTTAACCTAACATACTGTATAACCTCACGCCTTTTATCCCCGAAGGGGTAGGCAGAGGTGTATTAGGTACATTATGCCACTGGACAATGTAAAACCCACTTTTCACTATTTGTGTTATGAGTCCCATGTACCTCTAAAAGGGGGTGAGCCTATTGCCATATACTGGGCACAATTCCAGACTCCGTGCTGCTAGTGTGTGTGTAATAGTGATTTAATAATATCTTCTTGTTTATTTTGTTGCGGGATCCAAAACAGTTATTTTTTGGGACGCGCCGGACTTCAATGTTCCGGTGTTTTCATGGTGGTATCTACTGTAGATCCTGGCTTACAGGAGTTGCGGTTTTAGGAGTTCGTGGCGGGTATATCCCATAACTAATACAATGAATGCCTTATAGATATCGCTTTTAGCGATAAGGCCGCCTTTGTACCCTATTTTGTTTAATTTGTAGCTCGATAACTGTCTCAAATTGGTGTACAATAAAGATTATTATTATTATTACCTTATCCTTTTTGGCGTTAGTAGCAATAACTGCGTTTAATGTTTTGAAATACGCTGTAATATAAATGCTGAAGCATGTGATCAACACGTCGTTAAAACTCCATAGAAATGTTGATTGAAGACACAAGTACTGAAAATTGCAGGAAATATTCAAAATTTAAGCAAAGCGATTTTATTGATAACAGATTATACTTTTTTGACAATGGTACCTAGTAAGTAAAATAGTGTGACAATTGATGGTTGGGTACATCTTTAATTCAAATATTAACCTTTTTTCAGATATCACTACATACAATTTTATGTTTCGAATAAAAGTAATCTAAAATATATCATAATAAGTAAATAAAAAGTTCAAAATACCTCAAAAAAGACAGCATTGAAAAAGCTGTAAGGTATATAGTTAAAAATATAAGGCATTCTATGTACTACATAATTCTCCATGACATTGGTGGTGACTCCAGCCTCTTGGAGGCAGTACATCACGAATTTTATATTGAAACTCGTACATAAGATATGTTCCACTGAAAGATAAGAAAAAAATAATAAAAAAAATCCTATTACATAAAATATATTTACTATACCTCCCAGCAGTATTAAATATAATAGTCGAATCGTCGAATCATTTGACGAATACATATATCCTTCACTAACAATATCTTTGCATCTTGCTTCATCATCATCATCAACAGCCTATAATTACCCACTGCTGAGCAAAGCCTCTTCTCACAAGGAGAACGTTTGAGCGTCACCACGCTTGCTCAATGCGGGTTGGCGATTACAAACTAGAAATTATAAGCCCAGGTTTCCTCACGAAACATCGTGAGGAAACCTGGTGAAGGAAAACATTCCTTCACCGTCTGTGAGTGGTGTCTAGATAATCTTAGAAAGTACATATAACTCCGAAAAAGTCACATTGGTACTTGCTTTTGGTAGGTTTCGTATCCTCATGCATGAGAAGCGGGCGTCTTAAACCTCTGGGCCACCACGACAATCTTGCTTAAAATTGCATCTTGCTTAAAAACAATGAAAACTGTCGACGAAACGGCAACGTTAAATCTGCCTTTGTTTTTGACGAATGCATGCACACGTCAAATGACGCAACGTGAACTGTGAGAGTAACAATGACAGTGACACTTAATAAGCACAGTTCCGACACGGCTCAAGCACGGCCCCGTCACGCGGGCAGCGTGCTTTTTTATATTGACGTTATGAAATACGTCATACGACATATGATTTAAAGTTAATTCCTGGGTTCAATCTGCCTATTTGAGCACAGAATTTGGAAACCACCTTTATTTTGGCTCTTAATAGAAATGCCCATGGATTGCCCAGTCGATTGCGAAAACCATGCATTTAATGATATATGATTAACATTACTAACTTTCATAACTCATTCATAACATCACGCTTTTTATCCCCGATGGGGTAGGCAGAGGTGCACATTATGACACTGTACAATGTAACACCCACTTTTCACTATTTATGTTACGAATCCGATGTAATAGGGGGTGAGCCTATTGCCATATACTAGTCACAGTTCCAGACTCCGTGCTACTACTGACATTTGTTTTAAAACCCAGTAATACTTTGCCCGACCCAGGAATCGAACCCGAGACCCCTTGCCCGGCAGTCGCACTTGCGACCGCTCGGCCAACGAGGCAGTCATTACTTACTTATCATAGAAAAATGTATCACATACCCATAGCTAGCGCCATAACCAAATAAGCAAGGACACTGCTTCGAACTACGACTTTGTTGTCCAAAGACAGCTCAGTAAGACCACGTTCAGTTTCCACAGCCTTCGTCATAAGGAGCGGCCATTGTTGGGCCAATTTTAGAAGCAAAATGGCCGAAATAAGGCCCGTTACGTAAAAAATTATGTTGGCTGGAAAATAAGTCGTTGTGTAATTCAAATTGGCTTTCGTGGCCGTTTTTAAATTGGGAAACAGTTTCTGAGGTTTTCTTGTCGTTTATGAAAATAGATTGTTATTCTATTTATTAAAGAAACTCAATAATTATTTGCTTTATAATTGTACCTGTAATGATATCGACAAAGTACAAACTGTAAATATATAAAATATTACCTTTTTGATGTTTATACAAGGTGTTGTTTTAAAGCCGCGTCATTTCTAGGAGGTAGCTCGGCTATGGATTCTGATTCAGAATCAATAAAAAAAATGAAGGTAAATATTTTTATTTTTTCTGAAATTACGGAAATCCGTAAGTGCGAACTACACGCCGCCGTCTTGTAACTAGTTTTGTAACACGGCTTAACACACTCAAACTCAAACACGTAATTAATATTATTCCTAATTCCATAAAACTCCAATTAGAAACATTGTTGTCGCTTATTCTAAAATACCGTCGAACTTAAACGATTTATGATAGCCGTATTTTAACTTATGGCCCGAAACTTTCTTTTACATTGAACCTTTATGACTTTTGTGACATGCCCCCGAGAAATGCCACGGTTTCAAAACTACACCTTGCTTATATATATAAAATTTTACCATTTTGGTGTTTACATATCGTTGGGAATAGTGCAAATCCGCGGAACTGACATTTATATGCGTATATCTGAGAAATGTAGCTAATTCAAGTTTTCACAAAAAAATCCAGCAAAATAATAATTGGCAGCCACCACCTTGACACGAAATTATTTCGACTCATTGTTAATAAGGTTCTTCATTGAATTTAAGTTATTCAGATTTAATTTTCTCATGTAAAACTGAATCTTTAGCAGATACGTTTACGTATAGTAGATTCGCGAATTGTCACTATTCTCGACGATATATCTATCCAATTTTTAAGGAAATGAATAAAAATTTCTCATGATTTTCTGATATAACACTCTAAACAGAAAAAAAAGCATTTTATGAGGGTTTTAAATACAACAAAATAATGTGTGTTTTTTGCTCGATATTAAAATAATACTACTTACATATCGTACTCAAAGTTACTTCAGTTTGAAAGAATAGTAGCACAGAGAAATAAGACATCATCACTTGTCCCAGTAACGTTGCTACTACGTAAATACTGTATAGAGACTTTATTCTGAACCTGAAAGTAATAAAAAAACCCCAATTATAATTCATAACATGGGAGAGCCATGCTTCGGCATGAATGGCCCGACTCGACCGGAGTAATACCACAGCCTCACAGAAAATCGACGTAAAACAAAGCTTTCGTCGTGTTAGTGAAGTTACCGGAGGCCCAATTACCCCGCTTCTCCATCTCTCCAATCCCTGAATGCCCAATAATTCTTAAATTCCCAGTCCCTAAAAGGCCGGGAACGCACTTATTTTGTTACGACACTGGTGTTTCGGGTGTCCATAGGCGACGCCGATTGCTTATCATCAGGTCATCCGTCTGCTTGTTTACCGGCTTTTCCCATAAAAAATTGAAACTTCTTGACTGAATGCTACCTAAGAGCTAGTTTGTTTTCAAATGAAAACAAATACATAATGCAAGAAGAAAGACTGTGAACAAAATAGAAGGTGTGAAATCTCAGCTTACCTTATACCTTCGGGTCTAGGTTCTCCAAGACCCTGAACTGGAAAGAACCCCAACCACCTGGCGAACCGCAGCGCATGACGTAAGCACCCATGGAAATGACAGGGCTGGTCTGGGCTTCTTGAACTCAAACTGTAAACCTTCATGGTAGAACTGGAAAATAGTTAATAGGAAAATAGTGATGACTGTAGGAAATATTCTAAATTTTGCTTATCTTTTGAGAAGAAAGACTAGACCATGTGGTTCTTATAGCACAACAAATAAAGGGAGCGTCTCTTATAGGTACTAGGGTGACAGTGTATGTCCAGAGAATAACAGATACAATTTTTTTATGGGGTAAACGAGCAGACGGATCACCTAATGGTAAGCAATCGGCACCGCCCTTGGACACCTGAAGCACCAGAGAGAGATTCGGGGATTGGAGAGACTGAGGATCGGGGGGGGGGGAGGGGCAGTTGGGTTTCCGGTAACCTCACTAAAACGACGAAACACAACGAAAAGCGTTGTTTCACGTCGGTTTTTTGTTAGGCCGTGGTATCTCTCCGGTCGAACCGGCCCAATCGTACCGAAGCATGACTCTCCCACACTTTAAATTAGTACTTAGTAATAGTACTAGAAGAATCAAAGATCCTGATAACAAACACCCCGTTATCATTGGACTGAAAAATGTTTTAGAGAAACGAAACTAAAAGAGCAAATTCTATTACTAAACCCTTGATTATTGAACTCAATAATAATCGTGAAAGTCACTCAGTAGAGAGAAAAGTAGGCAAGTTACTTAGGAGTATCTATCGAACCTTGGAAGCCTTCACCGAAGCATAACTTCGATAATACCCAATGATTTGTAACGAGTAAAGGGTCTGCCGATAAAAATGTATAATCTAATAGAATCGAGTTTCCTTGTAAAATCATTTTAGGGGTTTTGCCAACGATAGAGGACGCTATGTTATGAAATATTGAGCTTAAAGAAATTCTTTCGTTTTTGACCCAGACTAATAGATTATGTAGGGAGTATCCGAGTATATAGTAACAATGTATGAGTTAAGAACTATTAAACTGTCAAACACCGCGAGGTCACCGGTGACCGCAACCTATTGTTCTGTAATTGTGTCTATAATGACGGTACTCAACGAGTTAAGTCTGAAAGATAGAAATTAACGAAAGAATGATGTCATTCGGAAAGATTTCGAGTTCAACTGACGGACTGACTGACAGACTATTATTTATTTTGTATTTGTTGACGTTTCAAAAGTACCAAACTATGGTTTAATTGAAATAAATGCTTTGACTTTGACTTTGACAACCTCCAGGTCGAATTATACAAAATTCTCAAATCAAATCAAATCAAAATCAAATCAAATCATTTATTTGCATAAAATCTGGAATCATAAAATCAAGCCTAGAATTACAATGTCTTGTAAAACTTAACATAATATCACGCCTTTTATCCCCGTAGGGGTAGGCAGAGGTGCACACTACGGCACTTAATGCTACTGTACCAGCACTTTTCAGTATTTATGTTATACATATACATGAGTCCCATGTAATAGGGGGTGAGCCTACTGCCATATACCGGGAACAATTTCAGACGCGTCGTGCTAATACTGTAAATAAAAAATAAAAAATATTAAATCCGGGACCCCTTGCCCGGCAGTCGCATTTGTGACGACTCGGCCAACGCGACAGTGTAAATAGTAGTCTTGTAAAAATAACAGACTGATACAATTGGCATTTTCTAAGCATTTATTAAATAAAGTAAAATTAATAAAACGATTCCGTTGTTCGTTAGCAGATAGCTTTACTACGACCGGCGCCATAATTCTCAATATCAGGAATCGAGTAAGGATGAAAAATTAGCACTTTGACTATTAAGTAAGTTATCGAGATAGTGTCTACGCAAAACATTCTTGACATATTTGAAATGGAAAGTAATAATTTTGGGATTTTTCGCAGTCAAAGAAATGAAAGTTCTTTTGCCTGAAGATTACCTTTTAACTGGCCTCAAAAAAGGAGGAGGTTCACAATGCGTCAAATACTGACAAAAACGTATAATGAGGTACTATATTACAAGAGTTGAATTGTGCATATTCCTATCGTAGCTCGCGTCGATATCAGCCCTGAGAGCGCTTAACTAGTTATCTAACTAAAAAAACATAAGACAAAAAGAGGTACGGAGCATCAGGAAATGTTCCGATGCTCCGTACGTCGGTAATACGGTTTTAATAGACATCTATTGTTTTTTAACCTTCAGACTACCAATACACTACAAAGTTACTAATAAAAACCAATTCTTAGTGCACAAGAACTTACTCAAAAGTACTCAAGAAAGGCCAGCCAACACCCACTTTTCAAACCTTAACCTTCAGCTAACAATAAGCGATTGAATCCATACTCTATGACCTGTATACACAGACATGCCTACATATTTATTTACTTATAGAACCAACATGTTTAGACACGTTTATACAAGAACACGCCTATTTGCTTAGGTCAGGGTGCTGTCATAGTTTGACACTCAACAAGATTGTTTTGATGTAAAGATTACATGGTGACGTCATAAAGGAATACTACCTTTGAGCCCACGACTTCACCCTTGTGCAAGTAGAAGGAGAATAAAAGTTTTGTTAAAACTATCCTTCCAACCTCGTTCACTATATGATCTCCGGCCATCGTAAGCATGGGCCCGTGGGCGGCGAGCACGGGTGACTCGCTCGATCCAGAACCAGACCCGAGCGTACGGTGTGTCGCGTTCCGCGCGCGCCTCAAAGAGACATCATACCACCACAGATGGAGCCCAACAGGGCTGATGCTGATACGGAACCGCGGAAGACTAAACGGGTTAAGCCAGCTCGAAGTGCAGGTGTAAGAACGGGGTGGTTTTTAGTCAGTAAATAGGCTCACCCCCTATTACATGGGACTTATAACATAAATAGTGAAAAGTGGGTGTTACATTGTACAGTGGCATAATATACACCTCTCCCTACCCCTTCGGGGGTAAAAGGCGTGATGTTATTTTATGTTTTATTTCAAGTTAAACGCAATAACAGTTTATTCCAGACAGTTGTTCATAATATCTCGATGAAATATATTAAGACCGTTAGGAATGGGGTCAAGTGTGGGTCTTATATTTTACTTGGATGCTAGTTTGTGTCGTAAATAAAGGTTAACACATATTTGCTATGGTGATAAAATATGTTAGAGACTTCGTTCGTGCTTCGGCATAACTTGCATCTTAATGGTTAGAAAGAAAAAGTTATTTGTAGTGTTGGGTATTGTAATGTAGCATTATGTTTCAACTATATTGAAACTAGCTTTAAACTACTCGCTCCCGTCACAAAAGGATAAAAAGTAGCCTATGTGACATACCAATACACACAGCGCCATCTATACCTTTTCGCTCGGGAATATCAAATTTTTCCGGGACAAAAAGTACTGTGGGGGTTCTATATAGATGTCGAGGTGGATAAATGATGCGCTTCATTTTATTTGGAGATATATAATTCTGGTACCAGTTACATGATATATACTTAAAAATGACGACCTACTAGTTCGGTTGCGGGGAGACGACTCCCGTGCGACGCCAGCGCACGTACGCGCTTGGGAACACAAAAGTACCGCGTCAACAGTGTGTCCCTACAGTACCTATTATTTAACCCGAACTTCTAACTTTACGTCTGCAAAAATTCAAAGCAATCGGTTTAGTAGTTACGGCGTGAAAGCGGAACAAACCAACAAACAAACTCACTTTCCGATTTATAATATTAATAAGGATGTAGGCTGCAATTAATCTGTGGTATACTACCTCTACATAAACTTGCCGTGTAGTCCCAGGCAGAGTAAAATAGGCCACTCTCATTCTTACCGAGGTGTCGTAAAAGGTGACTAAGGTAAATTCCGTGCAATGTCACCAGCACACAGAGAGGGAAAGCTCTGTAATTTATACCAAAACCCTCACTAACCCGTCTGCCAAGCGTGGTAAGAATGGCAATTACCCCTCACGTATTGGTGGAGGCCCGAGCCCCAGAAGTGGGGACGTAAATGGGCTGATGATGATGATACTACATAAACTATCTAAAGACTCCATAGCTTTAACACCTATTTTTTTTTAATATTCAATATTAATTTTCCATGGACTCTGAGTCCGTGCCTTTGTCATACAACGATTTTTTATGAAATCACTACATATGTAGTATAAAACAAAGTCGCTATCCGCCGTCTGTCTATGATCTCTAGATCTTTAGAACTATGAAACGGATTTTGATGCGGTTTTTTTTAATAGATAGAGTGATTCTTAAGGAAGATTTATACAATGTATAATACATGCATATGCTAGCCACCCGTGCAAGCCGGGTCGCTAGCATAATACATAATACAATATTTATGTATGTACCTAGTTCTGTGTTTCTTTCTTTCTTTCTTTCTTTAAAAAGTTCCTATGTTAAACACTACAAATAACCGCAATTATAATTATTATTACAAAATTAAGACCTATTTAAGATAATTATGTGTCTAGTGCCATAGATAAGAAAAAAGTTAAAAGTAAAAATATAGTAGGAAGAGGTGGTAATTCTAGACACTTTAAGAACTTTATTACAGAACTTAGGACCTATTGCTTATTAACTCGTTGAGTAGGTACCGTCTTTGTAGACACAATTATAGTATAATAGGTTGGTGTTTGACAGTTTAATCGTGCTAGAGCGATTTTTTTTAACATTGCCCCACACTAGGATTTTCTCCAGTGCCGTGGGTGCGTTTACAAACATACAAGTTCACATACACATAACACCCAGACCCGGAACAACAATTTCTGGATCACACAAAGTGTTGTTCCGTGCGGGAACGCCGGAACGATTGTGCAATGTGCCGGTTGCCCAGCTACCGCGCCAACCGATTTGCAGTCGATTATTCGATTAATATTAAGAAATGAAGTATTTTCAGTCCACTATATGTTTCATCTAAATAATAACAACTGAAATAAGCATGGGAGTATTTGCAGTACATTATTTCAACGCGGGCACACCGCCAACCCAGGACTCACCACTATTTATCAGCACCACCATTCATTTAAGTAACAAAAGTATTTCACAGTTGCTTTTGGCACTAAACTAAATTGCTTTTAAGAACTTTTCTCAAATTGTATTAGTAA